ACCAACTCCCGGAGTTTGCTCAAACTCATGCCCATCGAGTTGGTGATGCCATCCAACCATCTCATCCTCTGTCATCCCCTTCTCCTCCTGCCCTCAATCTTTCCCAGCATCAGGGTCTTTTCCAATTAGTCAGTTCTTCACATCAGGTGGCCAGAGTATTGGAGTTTCGGCTTCAGCATCAGTCCTTCCAGTGAACACCCAGGACTGATTTCCTTTAGGATGGATTGGTTGGATCTCCTTGAAGTCCAAGGAGGAAAATTAACATCATTTAAATATTTAGTCCTCCAATCCATGGACACAATAAGTCCCTGTATTTTTATGTCTCAATTTTTTTTTCTCTTTAAAGTGTTTTAAACTGTTAGGCCCAAAGGGCTTACATGTGTTTTATTAGATTATTTCTTGATATTTATTGGATTAGTTTTAGATATTTATTTCTAAATAATCTAATAATCTGATGACCTTGACAGCATTATAAATGATATCACCTTACATTTCCATTTTGTGTTTGTTGCTGGTATGCAGAAATAGGATTGTGTTTGGATATTCACCTGGTAGACAAAAATCTGCCCCTCGGGTCAATATTTTAAATTCTTGGTTTCAGCCTGTCTGTCTGTGTCTGGTGAGGGGGCTGTGTTTGTCACACTCTTCATGGACATTCCTGTTACCAGTCCCTGCAAGGCCCCTCTCTGGTTAGGTTTTTCCGTTTATCCCTTTGATCTCGTTTCCTCCTGCTCCCTGACAAACAACCGTATTCACGTGTCTCCTGTCCATCTCTCTGCTCTCTGGTTACCAGTGGGACTGAGAGTGTCTTCTCGTCCTTTTGGGCTTTGGAGCTTCCCACTTGGAAACACTGCTCTTCAAGTTCCTTGCCCATCCACCGTGTTACCCTGAACCTGGTTAATTTTTCGGATCCCTGCCTTTTTCTATTTGCCTTTATCTGAAAACATGAGGCCAGAGCTGAAAACAATGGTCTTTCTGGCTTCTGGTCACCAGTGGCTCACGGAGACTGAGACAGTGGCATGTGAGCCGCCTCTCCATGTGAACAAGGAACCAGGCTCATGGCCACGTGGCCCCTGACTCCGGTCGTGTAAGGCCGCACTGCCTCTTCCCAGCTGTGGAGCGGGCCTATCACGGCGGCTGTGGGCAGGGCTTCCTAGGAATGGGAACAAAACACGGAAGTGGCGGTCAGAACAGCTTGAGTGGGTCTCTGTGAGCCCCTGTTGCTCACGGAGCCTGCAGCTGCCCTTGTGATGTTGACACGCCCAGTTCATAATTGGTGGTTAAGAATCTAATAATGTCCGTCACCACGTTAGGCTTTCTGCAATAAAATAGCATATTCCTTATCATGGTGCTCCCATTACGTATCACATAAGGCCAGCACAGGCATAGTTACGCATGTTCTGCACCTGTAAGTTGGAATAAAAACATAAACCCCGATGCGTGTGCATGAGAACAAGCACAGACTGGCGGTGCGAGGGTGTTAGGGCGTCGTTTCGGGGGGGGGGTTCATGTTTCATGTTCTCCCCACCTTCTTTGCCTTTTTATGCTGTAGTTTAGTTTCCAATGGAGTTTGGTTTCAGCACACCAAGTGTCTGGGCTTCCCCAGGGGCTCAGTGGGGATGGCTGCTGCCAGTGCAGGAGACACAGGAGACACGCGGCTGCTGGGACAGGAAGGTGCCTCGGAGGAGGAAATGGCACCCACTCCAGTACTCTGGCCTGGAGAACCCCATGGGCAGAGGAGCCTGTGACCTGCAGTCCATGGGGTTGCAAAGAGCCAGACACAACTGAGCACGCATCTTTGATTTATATTTTAGTTTGTTCTTCCCAACTCTTGCCCCGTATCTCTGCTTCAAAGACCTCTGAGTTTTCCTCTCTAGGTTAGAGGTTAAGTCTTAGGTCCCAAGTACGCCCGGTTCTTGTCCCCGTAACAAACGTGCGTTGCGTGAGCCCTCTTCCCGCACGGCCCAGCCCGACAAGGCAGGATTCCCGGGGGCCGGCACACCGCCGTCTGAGTGATGCCGCCTCCCCAAGCGGCTGCGTCAGGAGCGGGGAGAAGAGAGAAGGCTGGGCCGGCAGGAGCACCTGGGGCCTCAGAGAGGGGAGGAGGCCTCAGAAAGTTGGGGCCCCGGAAGCCACGCGATACAGAATTTCCCGTTTTCCCCTGAGCCTGGCCCAAATCTTCCCAATTCATTAAACGCCCAGCAGGGAAAATTCCAAATCAGATATCAAATCTCTGTATTACATTCCACCAAGTCACATTTATTTTTATGTCTGATGTAGCTGACATCAAATAAACAGTTACTTTAAAAATTGGGTGCATCACAACACCGTGACATGGCCAACCTTTAAGAAAAATGAATGATTTATTTAAAAGGTTGGATGTGTCATAGGAGCATCTAAATCAGCAAGTGAAAAATCAGACGTCCCAGCGGCCGGGGCAGCAGGAGGGAGCAGACAGGGGAGCGGAAAGGATCCAGATTAAACACGGACACGTCTTCCTCCAAGAAATTAGAAAACAGGGTGTGAGTGTGACAGTCCGTAGTCAGGATGCACGTACTTTGTGTTACCTTAGAGAAGACCTGCTCAGACCTCCCTGCAGGAACTGTTTTTGATTTGACCATGATACATTTTTAGTGTTAGTGGGTTTCAGAGTGTGCCCAGGCCTGTGTTTTACTCCCAGAAATTTTGATGTGCTGCTCGCCCTACCAGCAAACGTGTATATGTGTGTGTCGNGCAGGAACTGTTTTTGATTTGACCATGATACATTTTTAGTGTTAGTGGGTTTCAGAGTGTGCCCAGGCCTGTGTTTTACTCCCAGAAATTTTGATGTGCTGCTCGCCCTACCAGCAAACGTGTATATGTGTGTGTCGCGTGTTTGTATGTGTGCGTTTCTCTGTGTGCATGTGTGTTGTGTGTATTTACATGTGTTTCTGTGTGTTTGTGTTGTATGTGTGTGTTTCTGTGTGTTTGTGTATTTGTATGTGTGTATTTGTGTGTATTGTGTTTGTATGTGTGTTGTGTGTGTGTATATTTGTGTATGTTGTGTGTTTATGTGTGTTGTGTGTATGTGTGTGTTTGTGTGTATTTCTGTGTGTTGAGTGTATGTGTGTGTTTGTGTATGATTCTGTGTGTTCTGTGTATGTGCGTGTTTGTGTGTTTGTGTATCTGTGTGTTGTGTGTATTGTTTGTGTGTTTGTGTGTATGTGTGTGGTGTGTGTTTCTGTGTATGTGTGTGTATCTGTGTTTGTGTATTTGTATGTGTGTGTTTCTGTGTATTGTGTTTGTATGTGTCTATGTTGTGTGTTTGTGTGTATATTTGTGTGTGTGTTGTGTGTTTGTGTGAGTTTCTATGTGTTGTGTGTGTATGTGCATGTTTCTGTGTGTTGTGTATATGTGTGTGTTGTGTGTGTGTATGTGCATGTTTCTGTGTGTGGTATTTCTGTGTGTGTTGTGTATATGTGTGTGTTTGTGTGTTTGAGTGTATGTGTTTCTGTGTATTGTGTTTGTATGTGTGTGTGTTGTGTTTGTGTGTATATATGTATGTGTTGTGTGTTTGTGTGAGTTTCTGTGTTTGTGTGCATAGTGTGTATGTGTTGTGTGTGTGTCTCTGTGTGTTTCTTTGTGTGTGTGTCTGTATCTGTTTGTATGTTTCTGTGTGTTGTGTGTGTGTTGTGTTTGTGTGTATATTTGTGTGTGTGTGTTATATTTGTGTGTGTGTGTGTTTCTGTGTGTATTGTGTGTTTCTGTGTGTTTCTTTGTGTGTGTGTGTGTCTGTATCTGTGTGTTTGTGTGTGCAGGACTTGAAGGTCACGGGACAAGCAGGTTTCCGCCTGTGTGCTGTGTCCTGCTCAGCCAGGCATCTTAGGAGGGAAACGCAAACCTTCAGAGGGAGCACTTGCCCGGGGGGAGGACTCTGGAGCCCTGTGCTCATCTGCCCATCTTCAGCGGTGTGACCTTGAGCAGAGCCCTGACCCTCTCTGGGCCTTTTCCTGCCCGTGGATGAAACCAGGGGCTGCATTCCAGACACGCTGAGAGGGGCCGTCTGCTCCTCACGTTCATGGCACGCGCGCTCGTGCTGCTGACGGTGCGGTCCGGCTGTCTGTGTTCATTCCCAGCCCGCGTGGTGTGCGGGCACCTGGGGAGGGGCTGGGGTGAGCTGAGCTGAGGGGGTCGGAGGTGAGCCCAGGCTTTCAGGCCAGGAGGGGTGCTGGAATCCTAAGAAGCCTGGCGGTTGGGAGGGCGCTGGCTTGCCTTGAGGGATGTGACAACTGATTTCAGTTCTCTGAAACTGGGGCTAGGAGCCCCCGGGGCAAGTGGGTGGGCAGTGTGGGAGAAAGGCCCGGGGCTGGGGGCCTCTCGGATAGAGGAGCCCATGCGAGCCTTGGGGCAGAGTTTCCCTGCACCTGTGACCCCAGGGAAGCCCGCCCCCGGGATGGGGTGCACAGAGAGCAGAGAGACAGGGGAGCCCCCAGAGTCAAAGGACCCCTGTGCCCCCCCAAGACCCCCGGAGCCTGGAGTATGGGCAGGCAGGCCCCTGATGCCCGTGGGAGCCTGGAGCAGAGCCGGCAGGCGCACAGGCTAAGAGAAGAAGGGGGTTCTGGCTCTTCGGGGCTCACTCCCAGCTCTGGAAGTTTCTTTCATTTGACAGAGGAGGCTCCAGCACAGGGCCTGGGAGCCAGGCCTCCATTCCCAGAGGTTCAGGACTCTGGGCGGGTGGGGGCCAGCAGGCAGGCAGGGCTGTCCACCCTCCTGCGGGGGTCTCCAGGCCCGGGGATCTCCAGGCCCAGGGCTCCTGCCAGCCACGGGGTCCAGAGAGGCTGAATCCAAAGGGAGCCCATCTGGGGGCTGGGGGCCGTGGGCTTTGGTGACGCCCAACCACTGAACTGCCCTGAGACCCCTCACCCCCTGGGCCCAACGTTGCCTTTATGCCCATGGGCCCGCCTGGGGGTGCCGGGAGCTCTGCCTTCCTAGAGAACGTTCTGAAATAAGGCATCAGGAAGTGTTTTGAAAATAAAAACAGCGTTTACACGCAGGATATTATCATATTTCTAGGCTAAGATGTCACCGCTATGAAGTACAACCCCACAGTTACGACACAATGGGGGAATTAGGAGTGTGGTTGCAGGAACATTTCTGTCGGCGGCGGGCTGTGTAAATGAGGTGTGCTCACGTTGGGGTGAGGCCGAGGTGCTCCGGGCTGCAGGGCTGGTGACACGTGTCCTCCCCGCCGCCGCCTCCTTTCAGGCCTCTGACCAGGTCTGCAGACGAGCGTGAGCTCAGCCCTGAGGTCACACGAGCCTCGGGCGAGACAGGAGGGGCCTCTGAAATAAAGCGGGTCGGGCTCCAGGGGCCTCCGGTGACTTCAGTCTCCGCTCCGGCCTCTCTGCTCTGGACACAAGGGCATTCCGTGCGCTTCAGAAAGAGAAAAACGAAGTCCCACAGAGTGGGAAGTAAGCAAAAGTCCTTCCGTGTGCTTTGATTCCGCCCCAGGATGGACTCAGTGTCCTGCACAGACGTGGGGCAAAGGAGGGGCCAGACGACAGGGTGCTTAGGGTGTTCCCATCGGTCCCACCGCTGCCCCTGCGTTCAGCCTGGGGGGCTCCCCGGCCATGGCCCCAGCTCAGCCACCGTCGACCGCCCTCAGGGATGGGGGGCGGGGGCACTGGTTCTCCCAGCACTGCGCCCCCAGGGCCGCATCCTGCCATCACACAAGACTTCAGGTCCTCAGGACTTCACTCTGGGTCCCCAGTCTTGCCTTGGGAGCCCCCAGCCTGGCTCGCTTTGTCCCCCCAGCTTCCAGGCTGCTCTGTGTTACCGCCTCTGTGAGTCCCAGCCAACCCCTGCCCCCACTGCCGCTCTAGGACATGGTGGTGCTGCTCAAACCAGCCACCCACACTGTCAGACTCTCCTGGACCAACGGCACCGCCAGCCCCAGGCTGCCCATTTCCACCAGTGCTCGAAGCCCAGCGCATTTGACTGCAGCCCTGAGCAGGCCCTCCCTCTCCCGTCCTATCACAGGTACACAACATGCTCTCACAGCCAACTCCACCTCTGAAGTTCCTTCCTCTGGCCATTTGTTACCACTTCCCTCCTGGGGCTTTGCCTGGAATGGGATGAGTGGTATGGTCAGCGCCTGGTGAGAGGGTTCAAGCAGTGGCTTGGGCAGTTGCAGGATGGGTGCAGCTGTTCGGTTGTGCGTCTCTTGTGTGTCTGTGACATGCTCCCCACTTTATATCTTCACGATGATCATCTCAGGACCTCAGAATGGCTGCTGTGGCCCCAGACATCACAGCAACACAGGCAGACAGGCCAGGGAGAAGGGGGTATGTTCTTCAGAGGCCCCGTCATTTTATCTGATAAGGAAACTTTTTCTGGAAGATGTCCCTGCCTGACAATTGGTCAGTACCAGGTCGAGTGCCTGCTTCTAGACCCAACTCTGACAAACACATCACCCGGTTACAGATACAGATGAACTGCAATCCTCTCCTTGGGGCTAGGGAAGGAACCACCTTCCCTGGAATCAAGAGATCTGTGCCTGATACCTGAACACAGCCAGGTTCCTTAGTCAGTAGGGATGTGGTATCGGCAAGGTGCAGTGTGTACCCCACAGCGTGGAAACAAGTGCTGGGGCGGTTCCTTGCCCACCGCCCGAGGTGGTCCCTGCCCACAGCCGGGGGTTTCCCTGCTTCGGAGTCATTGCTACTTGCCCACTGTTCCCTCATCCCTCAGTGGACCCTGACCCCTTCCCAGCCCACCTCAGCCTGGGAGTTGACCACGAGCTCCCTCCGCCCACAGTTCAAACATGCCAGTGGGGGGATCACACACCGCACACGGTTCCACTTGACTTGACCCCTGGGACCTCAGGTCTCAGCCCCCCAGGCACAAAGCCTCCTGATTTGGTAGAGATTTCTCTTCTCTCACTCTGCTCCTCCAGGGACAGGAGCCGCAGTTGGCTGTGCTTGTGCGGGGTGTGTTCATTCATGTACAGCCGGAGTCAACTCTGCGAGCGTCCACGGACTGAGGCCAGGTCCTGGACCAGCTGGTGAAGGGTCAGTGGTGTGCTGACAATGGTGGAGATGCTGACGTGACCTCCATGATGTGTCTGGGGTTGCCGCGCTCTCCCCTTATTTAGAGGCAAAGGAAGGGGAAGTTCCATTTTGAACAATCCTCTCATGATGGCAGACACCTTCGACCCAGGATCGAGGGGCCCCGAGGACCTCAGGAACTTCAGTCTGGCTTCTGGAAAGGGAGGAGAGGGGTGAGAACAGGGGGGTTCCCTTCCATTCTGATGTTATTCTTCAGCTGATGCTGGTTCTTCATTAACGTCTGAAGTACCAGGGGGTGGGAGTAAAGTTTGGGGGGTGTTTTCCAGAGAGGGTAGGAATTTACTGTAGCCTTATCATAAACCTGGGTTCCCTGGTATCTCAAATAGTAAAGAATCTGCCTGCAATGCAGGAGACCCAGGTTCCATTCCTGGGTCAGGAAGACCCCCTGGAGGAGGGCATGGCCACCTACTCTAATATTCTTGTCCAGAGAATCCCATGAACAGAGGAGCCTGTCGGGCTACAGTCCATGAGGTCACAATGAGTTGGACACGGCTGAAGCGACTGACAGTTTCACTTTCACTATCCCAAATCAGTGAACACCTGATTTGGATCCCAGGCTGGTGGTCCCTGGTTGTCTCTCCCTGAAGGCTGAGTTCTCTGATTTCCTCGCACACGCTGTGCTCGTTTCTGATATTATTTACAGGCTCGTTCCGCTGGGTCCTCCCTGAGCAGGCTCCCGGGACCCCGCGGGGGTGCCTGCACCACCCCAGGCCTGGAATCTCCCGTGTCATCTTCAACTCCCAGTTCCGCCTCCCGCCTTGGATGCGGGGAGCGTGTTCTGTGTTGGTCTCCAGTGATGTGAAATATTTATTCTGTTTGGTTCCCTAACGATATTAAAAACACAGGATGTATTATTTATCCTCCGCCCTTGGAGACGGGCTTCTGGGGCTGGAGCCACCGGGCAGCCATCTGCGCGGCACTTAACTTAACCGGAGAATTTAGTACAGGTGGACGGGCAGGGGGCCCTTTCTTTCCTCCTGGGAAGGTTCTTATCACGCTGTGAAAACGTAAATTTGGGATGCAGCAAGGCCTTGAAAAGCCAGCATTCCCACTTGTATTGGGCGGCCTCCACGCGTCTCAGGAGCCCGGCGGTGGGCCCCGGAGGACAACCGCGCTCGCTGGTGCCCCCCGCACCAGGGTAGGAGCCCCCGCCCCCCTCCCCTCCTCTCCCCATCAGTCTCGATCCAGAGGAGACCCCCGCAGGGGCAGCACACAGGCCTCTGAAATCCTGCTGCTCCCCACCCCGCCGGGCGCTGACTCCTTTGGCTAACGGCGTCCCTGGTTTATGTTCGGGGACGCAGGGAGGAACTCGGGGCTGCCTCTAAACTACGTGCCGCGGACCCGGCGATGCGGCCCCAAGTTGGGAACGCTCATGATTGATTCCCTACGGCTGGAGGCTGACCCTTCTTCACTCCTGCTCCTCTCCCTTGGACGCTGCGAACCGCAAACATCGTTCGCTCCTGACCCGCTGCGGAGGCAAGCCCTGGCCCTCGGTGTTCCGGAAGCTTCTCCTTGGCTGTGACATCGGACAGCCTGCTGTCTCTGGCTCCTAGGGGCTCTGGCGTGGCGTCGTCTTCCGCGTTGCCGCCCGGGGCTGACGCGGAACAATGCTCCGCGGAGCCAGCGTTCGGGGAATGAAACCCACCGGCTGCGCTGCACGTGCGGGGCAGCTGTCTGGCTGGAGTGAAGCGCCTGCGCGTGAGGATTTACTGCCGTCGAGGGGCGGATTAGCATCCCCGCCCCCTCGCTTTATGACTCTCAGCTCTAGGGTGAGCCGAGTTGGGGTCTGCTAGTTCCGGATGGGGAGTCCTTCTCTGTAGATGCCCCCGTAAGTGTCTCAAAGTCCACACCTGTTGGGCCCAGGAAACAACAGCAGGAGGCCGGGGCTGGCAGTCACTGGGGCAGGAGCGGTGCCGCAGCCAGGCCTCGGGGGTCCCGCCGGACAGAGAGCAGGTGCTGCTCGCTGGGCGTGTGCTCTGTCCAGGGTCCCAGCGGGTTCTCCTGGGGGAACTGCCAGCCCGGCCCTGGAAGGTGACCTTGGCGGTGAGCACCCCAGGTCTCCTCCCATGGCGGCCTCTTTTCCTGGGAGAAAGCTTATTTTTCAAAGAGGAGGATGGTTTCAAGCCTTCACTCCCTGAAAGGCTGCTGGCGAGCCGCTACCTTCCCGGCCCCCGGCCACCCATCTTGCAACTCCTCGCCCAGACTTAGAGCCAAACAGATTAAGAGCGGAATCATTCTAATCGAAAGAATAAATACGTGGGGGTGAGAAATGGATTATTAATTCAAGCTGTGCCCTCCGTCCCAATAACAAATGACCCAGCATTAGGGAGAGCCGGTGGCTAAATTAGAACGAATGTGGGCTGGCGCCTCCCCCCAGCTTGGGGGCCCCTGGGGTGGCGGTCCCCTCCCTCGCCGCCAGCCCCAGCCCCGCGCTCCCGTTGACAGATCGGCGAGCCCAAACTGACAGCTCCTCAAACCTGCCCAAGAAACCCAGCATTAATTAAGTCATTGCTGGACTGTAATTTCCTTGAGAAGTAAAAAATTCTCACACAAGAAAAGGTTACGGAGACCTTTTCTGTGTCAAAATTACCATGCCGCATGAATATTAATGCTCTTAATGAAGACAACCTTTTTTCATCAAGAAGGTTCTGGAGCAGGTGCCAAACCTGAAGCCTCACTCCGTGGGCTCCACAGTCTCGGGGTGTCGGCACAAGGCAATTTTCCCATTAGAGCCGACGTTCCCCGACGGCCGCACCCCCTCCCCTGCCTGTCATGCCCCACCTAGCCCGTGTGGCCTCTCCTCTGAGGCTTTGGGGTCAGGGACCCCATGGGGGTCACAGGTGTGACCTCAGCTGAGGCGAGAGGAACTCGGTTCTGCACACAAGTCACGCCCGCCCTCCGGGGATCATAGACCAGGACAGCTTACTTGTCCCCAGTGCCCCTGGGACACGAAGGGGACCCTGCTGCCAAACCCAGTGTGACCCAGTGTCTCCTCCAGCCCCTCGCTTCTGCCCGCATGCCCCGCTGGAGGACACCCTGGGCATCACCCATCCCAGGCATCTGCTGGGAGGGGCCCTTGGTCTGGGCGGCTGCCTCTCGGTGCCCGAGGCAGGCCAGGCCTGTGGCGACACTAGCAGCCTTTCCTGAGTGTCCTGCTCAAGGGGGGCCTTGAGTGGTTTCTCCATGTCTCTCAGCTTTGCTTTTCGTCCTGGGAGCTGGGTGCCCCTCCTCCCCGGTCCCCTTGTCTGCATCTGGGGAAGAGGGATGACTCAGGGCTCCCCCGTGAGCACGTGGGCTCCTCTCATGATCGAAACTGATGCCCACACGCTGTTTGTCATCGTTCAATCAGAGGTCTGGTCCTCAGCCCTCATCTCCCTAGGCTTTGTGCCCTTGATTTTAAGAAGATGCTGAAAACAAAAATGTGGGCACCAGCCGGGGTGGAGAGACTGTCCTGTATTGATGGGAGGGTTGGGGCTTCCCCAAGGCTGCTGAAATCACTGCCTCCTAGGAAGGGATGAGATGACTTATAAAGGCCACTTCGGAACCAACCGACTACCTAGATGTTGTTCATTTTGCATCAAGACTTCAGGAGCTGGTGTGCGAGCCTCCGCGTGGTACCCAGCACATCTCTGGACTCAGCAGCCGTGGTGGCCGCTGCCACCCTCAGCCTCAAAGTCTCAAAGCCTCGGGACAGAAAGCCCCTGCAGCTGTGTCTCCCTTCCGTTCTTATCGGTTATTCACCTGTGACGTAATAAGGGCTGTGGCCACCCAGTAACAATAAATCTGGTCATTTCGGTTGAGCCATGTAATACCCTGTGTGTATTTAAAAGGTAAACATGATATATAGTTATGGGTGCTGATGTAATAGCTATTAGATTTATAACATGTCGAAGGGAGCATAATTTTATTATAAAGAGCAGTAGTTTGCAATCTTATTATTGTTTATTGCTGACGTCAGTGCAGGCCTGCAATAATATTCAGGTTCCGACTAGCAAGATGTCTATTTGTCACTGGTTTTGCCAGAACGGCGCCGCTTCTGAACCGGCATCAGTTGGCAAGCAGTTCAGCATGGTCCTGGTGCTGTCACCTGTCACCGGTTGCTGGGAAGCCCAGAGCAGCTCGGACCCCTGCCTCTGCTCGGGGAGGGGCCGCAGGGGCCAGGCAAGCTCAGCAGGTGGTGCGGGATGTGACTGGCTGTTTTCCTTGTTACCCGGGCCCTGAGGCCTGGCAGGAGCCTCAAAAGTGAATCGTGTCCACCACTGGCTGCAGTAGGCTCTTCACCCAGCGTCCCCAAAGATTTCCTCCACTTTGCCTGGGAAATGTGGGGCCCAGGTGGAAAACTCAAACCCTCAGATGCAGGCCTGTGGGCTCCTCCACCAGTCTGGTGACCGAGGGGCTCTGCTGATCAATAGAATAGGTGGTGGCATTTCAGCCTCATTACATAAAGTGGGGCTCCAGCCCCCAGCTGAGTGAGGCCCCAGGGTCTGTGGAAGGTGGGTTCCCTGCATTAATGGTGGACTAGCTCAGGGTGGGCCACTCCTAGAAACAATTCCTTTATTTGAAGCAAAGGAGCGCGCATATTTTTCACAGATTTCTCATGGTGCTGAAGCCTGATTGAAAATGACTAAAAAAAAACACCAAAAAACAAATGATCAAACATATTGTCACAACCGTCATTGAGTTCCCACAACTAAGACAGCCAAGTGGGCAGAGTCCGAGAGCCGTGCCCCTGCCTGGCTGGCCGGGATGGCTTGGGAACCTCTGACCCCGGTGAAGACGAAACACAGAATCGTCCGACTTCAGCCAGACGTCCCAGCAAAGCTCCCCTCTGAGCTCCGGGGAGCGGAGCTGGGCGTTTCCTGGGGAAGAGTGGTCCCTCCTGGGGGTTCTTCCTGGATGACAGGGGGCCCAAAGTGGGGACGACCGTGCCCACTGCAGTGCTCCTCTGAGGGTTTGCTGGGCACAGGGGGCACGGGAGGGGACGGAGTCTTGTGCAAACACTCCTGTTAGGCCCTCCTGGCTGTCTGCTCTTCAGCTTCTCTTGGGCAGAAGGCCTCCGCCTTCCTTTCTCAGGCCTCAGTGGACGTGCACACGGAGACAGTTCCAGTCCCTTCATCTGGCAGCTGGGGGCGCTGTATTCCAGTGCCCGTTTATCTGCACAACCCCCACCAAACAGGCCAGTCGAACCTCGCACACAACGCTGGGTGCTTTTGGCCATTGACATGTCCCAGCAATCTCCAGGGCCTTGATTTATACCCGTGGAAGCCAGAAGCTTCCTATTGCAACCCAGCAGGCCTGGTTTCCATCCTCATTACTGACTTTCCACTGGGAAATAATTAGGTGACAATGACCAAATGCAGCCCCCAGATAGCAGGTACTCCGTAAACGCTTGTCGGATTAAAGGAAAGTGAATTAGTTCTATTTATACAAAAATAACGAACTAGGGGCTGGAGAAACAACCAAGTGATTGGCTTGTGGGGTGGGGGGCACCTCTGAAGGGCGGGCGTCCCACCGGTCCGGGAATGGGATCCGGTTCACCAAGACGGGAGTGGCAGGGTCCGGCTGGCCTCTCAACACAGGAGAAGCTCTGAAGGAGGGGCATTTGCTCCCGTTGGCATCTCCTGGCCAGCGGAGGCCCTGGCCACCGCGCCCTGGACGGCGAGCCGGCCCAGTGATGCATGCCCGCAGCCCACGCGAGCATCCCCAGAAGTGCCGGCCGCTGCCTCCCGGGACTTAATCACGCCGAGCCCCGCCCACCCCGCGCACGCCGTAACGTGGCATTTTAATATCCCGGACCTGTGACATTTACACACCACTTGAACTTTACTTCAGTGGCTTATATATTACCATCTGCGCTCCTTCAGAAGTGTAGCTTCAACGCAGTTTATTCTCCATCTTAGAGTTATTTCTGGACTTTGCTACAGTCACATTTCGCTGGCCTCCAACAGCTTTAAGCTCCTCATAACAGTTACCATGGAATATTCTATTTCAAGGTAAAGCTAAGGCATGCGGTAATTAAACATATAAAATAAAACCACAAAACATTGTTTCTATACATTTAATACAGGAAAAAAAAAAAAGCCCAAATACTACTTCCTGCTTGTCGGGGTCTACAGAGTGAGACCTCAAGAACTATTCTGACAGCCCCGGAGCAGAGGGGACCTCCTGCCAGCCGGCCCCCAGGTTCTGAGCCATGGAGGGGGCGTCATCTTCAACCTCCAAGGTAAGGGGACAGAGTGACCAGCTGCTCCTAGAGGGCAGGAGGGTGAGCCATGTATTTTGTGGCCTCCCTGACCCACCCGTCCTTGACTGTGTAGAATGGGACAGGCTTGTGGGGGGTCATCGCACCAGTTCCTCTTCTGCCCCTGGGGGCCAAGTATATTTAAAGCTGGTGGCCCCGGTGTATCCCCACCCACACCACAAATCACTGTCCATCCTGCTTCCCCCGCAGCCGGCAGGGTAAAGAAGATGTACTCCTTACAGAACAGCGGCCCACGGCCCCGTGAGGAAAGGTATGCCTTGGGCATCCTTGTTGCTGGGCGAGGCATCCGCAGGGGACATGTCGCTGGTTTTCCCTGGGAGGTGCTGCTGGGGACTCACCAGGCTCAATAGGGCACCTCGACCTGTCTGGCTGCTTCACCCCCAACTGCTCTATCAGGGGTCCCTGGGAGCTGAGTCCCGGATGGTTCTCGCTAGGGCCTGGCCATCTCCATTCTTTCCACGGGCACCACTTCCTCCTCAAAGGCCTGTGCCTTGGGCTGAAGAACTGGGCAGGGTGACGGCCACGGAGGTGTTTCCAGCTGCCCAGGAGGAAGCTCAGTGCTGGGAAACGGGACTGAGGGGGCCGCAGGGCGGCCGGGCTGGGTCTGCAGGTGGAGGGGCCTGCAGTTATGCAGAGTCCACGGGGAGAGTCCCAAGGGCCGCCCACCTGTCCTCAGGCTTTCCAGACTGTCAGGTCAGCTCCCACAGGACTGGAAGTCATCTCTGACGCAAGCCCACTCAGGGGTTCCAGCGTGATGTTGAAAAGCATCTCCCTTGGCCATGACAGGCTCCTCCCCGTGTGCAAGGAAGGTCCTGGTGGCGGCCGTTGAGCCATGTTGCAGCAGGCAGAGTCCACCCACCCTGGGGCACGTGGTCCTCGGGGCGTCACTGCGGAGCAGTGTGGATGTGGGAGGGGAGTTGCCCAGGACGTCAGCCCCGCGTCGAGGCCCAGCTCAGAAGTCTCTGGGGGTGGGGTGCCTGGGTCTGGTACCCAGTGGCTGCTCCACTCAGGCCCGCCCCTGCTGATGACCGAACGGTATGGCACCATACCTGGGCCCCCCCACCCAGAATCAGAGAACCATCATCTGCGGGAGCAGCAGCGATTCGGGACAGACCAGCAGGGTGAGTGGAAAGAGGGTGACCTCGCCAAGAAGTGATCTGGGGACAGTTTTTATCCATTCGGAAAGCAGACAGCCCAACATCCTGATCTGTGGGGGAGTCACACGCATGGGGTCCACTTGACCTCCAGAGGGCAGGAGGCTCAGGGCAGGTCACGCCCCGTAAAGGCCTGGACACTGGGCCTCTGCGCGCCGCCCTGGCTGGCCACCCCCTCAGGGTGCTGTCACCGGCCCTGCTGGGAGGAGTTCCTAACTCCGTGCGGAGGGAGCATCCACGGGGTCAAGTCCCATGCAGGCCTGGACGCCGGGCCTCTACACACCACCCTGGCTGTCATCGGCCCTGCTAGGGAGCAGCCCCTGACTCTGCAGGGAGGGCACAACTGGAGCTCTCTCCCAGGTCTCCACCGCACCCTGGGCGTCTCTGCCCTGGGCTGACTTTCAGCCGCGTCCTCTCACTGTAACACACTGTCCCTGTGTGTATAGGGGCCTCAGTAAGTCCTACAAGGCCCCCTAGCAGGTTGTCAGACCCAAGTGAGGGCCTAGAAACCCCCAAATGCAGCTGTTGGTGTCAGAGATGAGGGTGTTCTTTTGTAGACTGCTCCCTAACTTCCAAAGACTGGATAATCTTTTTCATCTTCATGGAGAACTTTGAAACCTACAAGTTGACAGGACAGTGTCATGAGTCCCCCTCTCCGCCCAGGTACCCATCACCAAGTTCCCAAAATAGCCAGGGCCCACTGGGCTGCCTCCACTTCCAACGACTCCTCCCCTCCGCCATCCAGGTTACTTATTTTGGAACAAACTCCACCGGTGGCTCAGTGGTCGAGAACCGGCATGTCGTGCAGGAGACCTGGGTTCGATCCCTGGGTCAGGAAGATCCCCTGGAGAAGGGAAAGGCAACCCACTCCAGTATTCTGGATAAAGTTTTTTTTTACATCCTCTGTGCCCTGATTTCTTTTTAATTCTGTGCCTGTCCTCCTCTTCCCTACTTTGCTCTCTGGATCTGTCTCTTCTTTCTCTCTTCTTTCTCTCTCCTTTCCTCTTCCCCTCCATCTTCTTCCCTTGATGTCCCAACACATTCATAACTTTCATCCAACCTTTCTTTCTCCCCTTTCCTCTTTTCTTCTGAATTATAGGTGGCCATAAAATGGAGTTAAATATAAATTTTACTTACCAAAAAAGTTTATCTGTACTGTGTTGTTGATTTTAAAATCAGATGAGCTTGGAAAGAGAAAAAGAAAAACTAAACTCAATTGTCTCTCAGTATTTTTGAGGTCTTTTCTTCCACTGGCCTCCCCAGCTTTATTGAGGTATAATTGACAAATAGACGTGTGAGATAGTGAACATCTACACAGGGATGCTTTGATGCGCGTGCACAGTGTGAAAGGAGCCCCCCAAGTTAATTAACATATCGTCACCTTCCAAGTATG